GAGAGACATGCCATCTTCCTAGTGGAAATTCGAATAGCAAACCCAATGCATCCAGCCGTCTGACAGCAGCTGCATAATCTAGCGCTTCATCAGAGGTAGACCCACCTGGGACTGGGGCCTTGCTAGCTCACTGTACGGAGGCAGGGTGCAGGAGATGCTTGCTGTCATTAGCTAGTGTGTTAATTGAGCACGTTTCTCTCTTCCAGGCACAAAGGTCTGCATGCAGTTTGCAAGCAGAGCTGGAAAAGCTGAGATTGGCTGAAAATGCAGCAACTTCCGACACGGAGGAGGCCCTGCAGCTCCAGGTGATTTGGCTGCCCTGGTTTCTTGTGTTTGGTGTAGAGGCAAGACAGCAACATCCTTGGCGAAGCGGGACTGCGCGCATGGTCTATCTTTCTTGGGGATGCTGGGGCAACGTAGATGGTTCCCATGCAAGTAGCTCCCTGCCCCAAGCCTGGCCTGGCTGTGAGCTTTGGCGTGGCTGAAGGGTGAAACAGGATGGAAATCAGCCCCTAGATCTGCGTTGGCCGAGATGAGAAAGGGAGAGGGGTGATGCCCTGAGCTGGCTGCCTTAGCAAACGCTCTTGCCAGCTGGGCTTTTCACGTATTGGGAAATAATTCTGCTCCTGTGAGGTTGGCTCAGCCCAGGCATCTCCTGGGTTTGGCAGGGAGCCAGCATGAGCCGTAGCTGCATCCCTGCAGCATGGGGTGACATTTGGCCAACACAGACATTTGGAGGGAGCTGGATGTGCCTAAGGCTCTTAGTCAGCAAGACTGCTCAGTGCAGACCCACTGTGACGGGGTGGAGGGAAGGACTGGTTCACCTGCAAGCAGCCCAGACTGCAAAGGCAGGCTCACAGGGATGGCTTCTTTCAACTCCTGTGTAGGAAAGACTTGAAAAAGAAAAAAAATTAACAAAGGACTTGGGCCGGGCAGCAACCAAACTACAAGAGCTACTGAAGGTTACCCAGGACCAACTGGCCAAAGAGAAAGAAACAGTGAAGAAATTGAAAGAACAGCTTCAGGAAATGGTATTTGTTCCAGGAGCTGGGATTGGGGACTGAGCCCTTGCCTGGGGTGGCTCTGGAGTTGTGACTAGATGAGGTGGCAGGATGGCCCCCATGAGCATCCGGCCGTGGTCGGGTGGGAGAACTGCTCAGCCCTTCGTGCCTGGGAGGAAAGCTCAGGTTGGAGCAAGCTCTTGCTGGGGGTTACTGGGAAGGGCTGTGGGCAGAACTGAGCTCTGCCATGCTGGAAGCTCCGTCCTTCCTCTTGACACCAGCGGAGGCCACGAGGAACCGTGTCACATGGTTGTCAAAAACTGGCGGCAGTGCAGTGCAAACTACCAACAACTGTCTTGGTGGCTCTAGGCAACCCATGGGACTCAGCTGGAAGGGGGGGGGTTGTCACAATTTTGACTGTCTGGAAAGGAAGAACTGACCAGTCCGTAAAATGGTTTGCTACTTAAGCTGCTATGAAAGTAAGAAGTTAGACCCAGTTGAGTAACCCACCGCTCTGCTTTTCTTCTTCCAGGGGGAAGAGGACGGTTCAAAGGAAGGGACTTCCGTTTGATCACTCTGTGACCTAGAGCTTACTCTTCCACTTACCAAAATGCCTTACACATTCCTAAAATAAAAATATATGCTCAATTTACTGTAGATAAAAGATACAAGCCATTAGTGACACAAAACCTAATTTTAAAACCTTAAAAATACCAGTAAACACTGCAGGTATACATTTGTAAGAAAATCTTCATACCGTTTTGTACAACTATTCCTCTTGAAGCCAAGCTTACTCTTCCACTTACCAAAATGCCTTACACATTCCTAAAATAAAAATATATGCTCAATTTACTGTAGATAAAAGATACAAGCCATTAGTGACACAAAACCTAATTTTAAAACCTTAAAAATACCAGTAAACACTGCAGGTATACATTTGTAAGAAAATCTTCATACCGTTTTGTACAACTATTCCTCTTGAAGCCACTCCGACCGTGTCGGGGTGGGCGCCGGGGTCCGACCCTTCTGTAGCAGCAGAATCCATGAGTGTGTGAAAAATGGAAGACTGTATTTGTACATCAATTGGTGCAATTATTATTTTTTTTTTTTTGGCGTGAAAGACGTGTGAAAGGAAGGCCAATGACCATATGATGGAAGAAAGCCGCTCTCTGATTGGGGGGGGGGGGGGCTCTTGGCACGTAGCCTTTTGTGTATTTCTGGGTGCTGATGCAATTAAACGGATGTTGTAGTGAAATGAGCTTGTCCTTGCTTTATTTTTCTGGATTTATGTATTTATATGTTTGTTTGGTTTACGCTTCCAGGCTAGCTAAGTGTTTGGGATCTCTAA